TTCAGTGTCTACTTCTTTTGCTTTCCATAATGATTTTGAGATGCATCTATGTTGTGTATTTCAGTAGTTCATTCCTTTTTACTGCTGAATAGTATTCCATTGTTTGTACAACCATGATTTGTGGATCCATTCACCTGTTGATGGAAATCTGGATTGTTTCTAGTTGTGGCTACTATGAATAAAATGGCTATGAGCATTCACATACAAGTCTGTTGGCAAAAATTTGTTTTATTTCTCTTAAGTAACACCTATGATTAGAATTGCTGGATTGTATGGTAAGTATATGTTTAACATTATAAGAAACTGGAAAATTATTTTCAGAATGGTTGTCCCAGTTTACATTCCCACCAGTGGGGAGAGTGGGCATCCTTGTCTTGTTCCCGATCTTAAAGGAAAAGCTTTCAGCTTCTCACTGCTAAGTATGATGTTGGCTGTGGGTTTGTCATATATGGCCTTTATTATGTTGAGGTACTTGCCCTGTATACCCATTTTGTTGAGAGTTTTTATCATGAATGGGTTTTGAATTTTGTCAAATGCTTTTTCAGCATCTATGGAGATGATGATGTGGTTTTTGTCCTTTTTGTTGATGTGGCAGATGATGTTGATGGATTTTCATATGTTGTACTATCCTTGCACCCCTGGAATAAATCCTACTTGATCATCATGGATGATCTTTTTGATATATTTTTGAATTTGGTTTGCTAAATACTTTGTTGAGTAGTTTTGCATCTACGTTCGTCAGGGATATTGGTCTGTAATTTTCCTTTTTTCTGGTGTCTTTGCCTGGTTTTGGTATTAGAGTGATGGTGGCCTTGTAGAATGAGTTTGTAAGTATTCCCTCCTCTTTACATTTTGGAAAACTTTGAGGAGGATGGGTATTAGGTCTTCACTAAATGTTTGATAAAATTCAGTGGTGAAGCCATCTGGTTCAGGCTTTTGTTCTTAGGTAGTTTTTTGATTACCAGTTCAATTTCATTGCTGTTTCATTGTTCAAATTTTCTGTTTCTTCCTTGGTCAGCCTTGGAAGTTTTTATTTTTCTAGAAAGTTGTCCATTTCTTCTAGGTTATCCAGTTTGTTAGCATATAGTTTTTCATAGTATTCTCTAATAATTCTTTGTATTTCTGTGGTGTCCATAGTGAATTTTTTCCTTTCTCATTTCTGATTCTGTTTATGTGTGTAGGCTTCCTTTTTCTCTTGTTAAGTCTGGCTAGGGGTTTATCTATTTTGTTTATTTTCTCGAAGAACCAGCTCTTGCTTTCATTGATTCTTTCTATTGTTTTATTCTTCTCAATTTTATTTATTTCTGCTCTAATCTTTATTATGTCCCTCCTTCTACTGACTTTGGGCCTCACTTGTTCTTCTTTTTCTAGTTTCATTAATTGTGAGTTTAGACTGTTCATATGGGATTGTCCTTCTTTCCTGAGGTAGGCCCGTATTGCAATATACTTTCCTCTTAGCATGGCCTTTCTGTGTCCCACAGACTTTGCAGTGTTGAATTATTGTTGTCATTTGTCTCCATATATTGCTTGATCTCTGTTTTTATTTGGTCATTGATCCATTGGTTATTTAGGAGCATGTTGTGAAGCCTCAATGTGTTTGTGGGATTTTTCATTTTCTTTGTGTAATTTATTTCTAGTTTCATACCTTTGTGATCTGAGAAACTGGTTGGTACAATTTCAATCTTTTTGAATTTACTGAGGCTCTTTTTGTGTCCTAGTATGTGGTCTACTCTGGAAAGTGTTCCACGTGCACTTGAGAAGAATGTGTATCCTGCTGCTTTTGGGTGTAGAGTTCTGTAGATGTCTGTTAGGTCCATCTGTTCTAATGTGTTGTTCAGTGCCTCTGTGTCCTTACTTATTTTCTGTCTGGTTGATCTGTCCTTCAGAGTGAGTGGAGTGTTGAAGTCTCCTAGAATGAATGCATTGCATTCTATTTCTCCTTTTAATTCAGTTAGTATTTGTTTCACATATGTAGGTGCTCCTGTGTTAGGAACATAAAGGTTTATAATGGTTATATCTTCTTGTTGGATTGATCCCTTTATAATTATGCAATGTCTTTCTTTGTCTCTTGTGACTTTCTTTGTTTTGAAGTCTATTTTGTCTGATACAAGTACTGCAACTCCTGCCTTTTTCTCTCTATTAGTTGCATGAAATATCTTTTTCCATCCCTTCACTTTTAGTCTGTGTATGTCTTTGGATTTAAAGTGAGTCTCTTGAAGGCAGCGTATAGATGGGTCTTGTTTTTTATCCATTCAATGACTCTATGTCTTTTGATTGGTGCATTCAGTCCATTTACATTTAGGGTGATTATCAATAGGTATGTACTTATTGCCATCACAGACTTTAGATTCTTGGTTACCAAAGGTTCAAGGTTAACTTCCTTACTATCTAAGAGTCTAACTTAACTCACTTAATATGCTATTACAAACACAATCTAAAAGTTCTTTTCTTTTTCTCCTCCTTTTTCTTCCTCCTTCATTCTTTATATATTAGGTATCATATTCTGTACTGTTTGTCTATCTCTTGATTGACTTGGGGATAGTTAATTTAATTTTGCATTTGCTTATTAATTAGCTGTTCTACTTACTTTACTGTGGTTTTATTTCCTCTGGTGACAGCTATTAAACATTAGGAACACTTCCATTTATAGTAGTCCCTCCAAAATAGACTGTAGAGATGCTTTGTGGGAGGTAGATTCTCTCAGCTTTTGCTTATCTGGAAATTGTTTAATCCCTCCCTCAAATTTAAATGATAATCTTCCCGGATAAGGTAATCTTGGTTCCAGGCCCTTCTGCTTCATGGCATTAAATACATCATGCCACTCCCTTCTGGTCTGTAAGGTTTCTGCTGAGAAGTCTGATGTTAGCCTGATGGGCTTTCCTTTGTATGTGATCTTATTTCTCTCTCTGACTGCTTTTAATAGTCTTTCCTTATCCTCGATCTTTGCCATTTTAATTACTATATGTCTTGGTGCTGTCTTCCTTGGGTCCCTTGTGTTGGGAGATCTGTGGATCTCCATGGCCTGGGAGACTATCTCCTTCCCCAGATTGGGGAAGTTCTCAGCAATTACCTCCTCAAAGACACTTTCTATCCCTTTCTCTTTCTCTTCTTCTTCTTATACCCCTATAAAGCGAATATTGTTACATTTGGATTGGTTACACAGTTCTCTCAATATTCTTTCATTCTTAGAGATCCTTTTGTCTCTCTGTGCCTCAGCTTCTTTGTATTCCTCTTCTCTAGTTTCTATTTCATTTATCGTCTCCTCCACCATATCCAATCTGCTTTTAATACCCTCCATTGTGCTCTTCAATGATTGGATCTTTGACCAGAATTCATTCCTGAGTTCTTGAATATCTTTCTGTACCTCCATGAGCATGTTAATGATTTTTATTTTGAACTCCCTTTCAGGAAGAGTCATGAAGTCCATGTCATTTAAATCTTTCTTGGGAGTTGTATTAATAATTTTACTCTGGACCAGGTTCTTTTTGGCATTTCATATTTGTATATGGTGCCCTCTAGTGCCCAGAAGCTCTACTCTCTGGAGCTGCTCAGCCACTGAAGCAATGTCAGGGGTTGCAGGGGAGCGGTATTGGTGCCTTGGTGGAGAAAAGAGTTGTTTCCTGCTTCCTGGCTGCTATGCCTGTCTCTACTGTCTGAACCAGTGGGCCAAGCACAGAGGTTTAAGCTTTTGTCCCAGAGCAGCCAGTTCTGGATCCCTGCTTTCCACAAGCGGCTGGAATCTCAGTCTCTCCAGGAATTCTGCTTGTCTTAGCTTTTAACCCTGTAATTATGAGAGTATCATGAAAGCACCATGAAATACAGGTTTGTGCTCCCAGAACAGATCTCCAGAGTTAGGTATTCAGCAGTCCCAGACCTCCACTCCCTCCCCCACTCCATTTCTCTTCCTCCTACCAGTGAGCTGGGTGTGGAAAGGGCTTGGGTCCTGCTGGGCCACAGTTTTGGTATGTTACCCTGTTCCATGAGGTCTGCTCTTTTCTTCAGGTCTATGCAGTCTGGCTCAGTCCTCTTTCCTGCTGGTCTCTCAGGGCTAGTGGTATTAATTATATTTTCATATTATATGCAGTTTTAAGAGGAAGCCTCTGTCTCATCTCCCACTCTGCCATCTTTAATCCTGTCTCCAGGACACATTCTATTCTGGAGGGGATGGCACTTCTTCCCACAGTGCAAGCCATCACAGTATTCTGAAGGAGAGCAGCAGAGATAAGTATGGGCTTAAGCTATTGAGGACACTATTTTGGCTTTACTGCCATAACACCACTGAAGTGTTTTCCCAATAGAAATAAACACAGTTTTTTCCCAAAATTAAATCAGATAATTGCTGGTAGTTTATAAAAGGACTTATCTTGGCTTCTAGACATTGTATTTTCAAAAAATATTTGGGTTCAAGCACATTAGAGCACTCTATTACATATTTCCTTCTTTAAATGTGTTTTTTTGTCACAGAGGAATCAACAGAGGAATAAAGCATTGAGGGGGGAATGACAGTGTCACCCAAGCATAGGGCTGGGGAATCTGTCCCTCCCTTCTGAAGGGGCAAGGTGTGCCTCAAGATGGGTGGGTCATGTTTAGAGAGGGAGTCATGTTAACAAAAGTACTTGAATGAGGAACATTTCAGAATGACATTTTATTAATTTGCAGGGGAAGTTGGACGGCTTAGCCCAGAAATGCTCTGCCCAGTAGATGCACTCCCTCTGCCCTCTTCCTCCTAGGCTGAACCACTTGCTGTCATATCTTGCCATTTGTAAAAGAGAAGAGTGTTCTTCCAGCTCAGTCAGTGGATTTTTACTCTGGAGAAGTCTTAGGAAGCAGACAGTACTTTAGAAAGACATAAACATTCCTCCCTAGTCATGCTGCCTGTCAGGGAGTAGACAGTGATCTGCCTACAGGATGAGCCCAAAGCCATCCCAAGGAGCAGCCATCCTGGATAAAATCGTCCTTCCTAGGACACAGTCTCTGAGAACTGTGAGACTATGGCAATCATGAGGTGTGCTTCCTGCCTCTATGGCCAGGATCTGCCACAGCTGGTGAGGAAGGCAAGTCATGAACACAGCAGTAGAGACACCTCAGAGGTGCTACGGGGCTCGGGTACTTGCCAGGAACATAGATGTGACATTGCATTTTCTAAAATGGGTGGTCCCAAACTGGTAGTTCCTAACCCTTTTGAGTCACAAAGCCGTTTGAGGATTTGACTCTTCCACCTCCTTCCCAATTTACAAAGACTCACTATTTTGCATGTAATTTATGAGATTTCCCAGAGCACCCTGAGGCTCATCTATGGTCCTTTGGCTCTAAACCATAGACTCCTGGGGGGGCAAGCACTGGGCTTGTTCTCTGTTGTGTGTTCAGCACCTACTGAAAGTGCCTGAGGTACGGGAGGTGTAATAATGTTTGCTGGGCAGTAAAGGGCAGAAGCAAAGCTGCACCTGCCTGACGGCCAGGCTAGGGTATGCGAATGCCATGGCATCAGTGCCTCTAGGGGCTTCCAGAGTGACTTTCCTGGCACTATTACTGACATTTGAAGCCAGGGCTGAAGGAGTGGGAGCCCTTCACTGTCTAACCCTCCATTCCTCACCTAGTCTTGTGATCTGAGACATGTAGTCAGTGGTGGTCACAGGGAAGAGATAAGTAATATTTTACATTGCTCCCTAGTTTTTGCCATGGCTTTCATATCAGTTTATTCTAAATGCTTCTGTGAAGTCAATCACTCAGTTATTTATGTGTGCTGCATATACTGAGCATCTTAGGGGCTGTTGTGTTCCAGGAGGGTGTTTGATCAATCAGTGCTGAGGTATTGAATCTAAAAGAGGATCAAAGTTCTAGTTCCTTTAAGCCCTGGGAGAGTCGTCCTTTTATATGCATAGATTGAGGGGGCACTTCTTCCCTCTGTTTGCTGCAGAATTCAAGCTCCTAACATGCGCGGGTGCTCAGGGAGAATGCCAAGGGTGCCAGGCTGGAGGTGGATGTTATCTACTCTTCCCAGCTGAAAGGAAAGGAGCGACACACAGCAGCAATTCACCAGAGAATTCCACTTTATTAGGGAAAGGTGCTGGGTTATATAGGAAGGGGCATGAATTGAGGTGTCACTTCTACGGGGCTGGTGGCTGTTGGCTAGGTGCTGGGATTAGGAGGGGGGCGAGAGGTGATTGGGCTTCAGGTGGCACTGGTGGGAACTGAGGACCCTGAAGAGAAGCCGGAAGTTTGCCATCTTACTGGTGGGGGCCCTTCATTCCCCCCTTTTTCCTCTATGGGGTTGTGGACGTTGCTTTCTCTCTGGCTGCTTCCTGCTGAACGGGGACGGAGAAGGGAGTGAGGGCTTCAGGACCGGGAGGAAAGGGTTGATAGGACTCCCCACAGTAAGGATGAGTAGATGTGGACTTCTTTAGGTTGGAAATCAATGAAGGTTCCCTGTAACCATAGGTCAAGGACCTGTTGATTCCAATGGTGCCAAGAGGATATGGGTGTCAGGGGCCAGGCGTCTGTGGCCATTGTTTCCAGGAACAGTTTCCAGTGGAGAGAGGGGTCCATCTCAGCATGTGGTGAGGAGGTCACGTGAGGGTGAGGGATCTTCTGTGGCCAGAAGCTGGTAGTTCCTGAGTAAAAGCTGGGTGAAAGCTTGATTAGAGATTTTTCTGATTTTATGAACTTTATTATACAGGGTAAGAAGACACAGGCGAGAAGAATGATTATTATGGGGCCCGCAATGGGCCAGAGCCAGGTGAGGAGGGAGTTTGTTAGTATTGAAGAGAATGGGTTGGAATTGGAAGCAGAGTGGAGGCTGGAGGCAAGGTCGGTGAGTTTGGTAATGTCAGTTTCTACAGTGCCGGATTCGTTGATGTAATAGCAGCACTCTTCCCAGAGGAAGATGCAGGTGCCGCCCTTCTCGGCTGTAAGCAGATCTAGGGCCCGCCGGTTTTGAAGGGTGACTTTAGCTAGCGAAATGACCTGTCTTTGGAGAGAGGCTAGGGAATCGGCAGTGGATGTCAGGGCTCCCTCAAGTTTGGTGTTGAGATCTCTAACTGCCCATAGAGAGTGACCCAAGGCTTCTCCCGAAAACCCTGCCCCAATGGCTGAGGTGATCAAAGAGCTACTGACCATGATGGGAAGGAAAGCAACCTTTTTTGTGCGCGAGTGCAAGGGAGGTTGGAGCTCAAGGAATTCTGCCATG